ATTAACCAATATTTCAATACTTAATTCTTATGATGCACCTAATTATCTCTTGGTTCTTTTTTTAATATATATATATATATATATATATATATATTTAAATAAATAAAAATCAAAGGTAATAAATATACGTGTTTAATCAAATTAAATAAAAAAAACAATAGATAAAAACAACAAAAAGACAAAAAAAGATAAAAAAAAAAGTAAAAAAATAAAATGATTAGATAGAGGTTAGGGGTGTCATTAGTCTCCATCTTTCTAAATTCATCAGATATGGGATTTCAAATCCAATTTTCTTTCAAACCAAATATAGGATTGAATTAAATTTATTTCTATGTTAGATCCATATTTGATAACAGTATGATGTGAAAATAATATTTATGATTTTGGTCTGTGTTGTCTATTTGAGATATGTCTTCATCTCAATGAATTCGTTCGACACCGTCACTTCAATCTGTTTTCTGTTACACAGTAGTTAATTTTATGTCATTCGTTTAAATTCCCGTTCCTTGACTCACTTTCGTCGTTTAGGTCATAATTTGTTAATCACCTCTCAGATTTGCCATTCACAAGCCTATTCATCATGTATAGCATAATCGATATTTAAATCAGTGGCACATCCATAATTTTTGTCGAGCAGTTGCACCTTTAAGGTGGATCAATAGTCCGGAAGTCGTTCCATGCAGTTTCTTATCCTATTTCCGCCATTTTTGAAGATCTTTTTTAATTTTGGTTGATTTCTAGGGAGTTGTTTCAGTTTTTTTGCTTGATCTTCCTTGTATTTTCTAATTTCCCGAAGCATTTCGTAAAGTTTAGCAGGTGCCAAAGACCTTTCAGCCTAGTGGTAAAGGCTTGGGCATGGCATAGTCATGAACCCGAGTTCGAGCCCTAGGAGGGGAGTGTTGGCGACATTTAAGTGGGGCCATGTTTAACCTCCAAATTTGCCGGGGATTAGTCGGGCTTTGGCCCGGACACCCTTACAAAAAAAAAAGTTTAGCAGGTGCCCTTTTCATACCTCCAAAAAGAATTTACTTATGAAAATAAGTTGAGCGAGTACATGGGACGTCGTTCGAGGCTGATTTGATCTACCCTTGATTTAATTATTGCTCTTTGTGATCGATCTGTACGGTACAACATTGTTCGCTTACACTTATTTTAAAACATATCACAAAAAGATATTATATAATAATTAATAATAAAATTAAACAACATCTAATAAATATTTCACCCTTCATTCCATTAATTACAGCGTGGGTGCAGGCTCACGGTGTTTGCGGTGGTAGTGAAACACAATTCATAGTTTGACTATGACAGAGTTTGACTTTTCAATTTCATGTAGACGTGATGAGGTTGCATTCAAACACAAATTCCAATTTCTAATTTGTTATCACTATAAAAGAGACAAAAGGTAAAATTGACGAATTTGTCCCTTATTTAACGGACTGGATTTAACGGCGTCAGTGTCAGGGATTCAGCTTGTTACGAAATGCAAACTACAGAGATGCTTGATGTACTTATTTTGAAAGAGACGTCGTATTCATACTTTGAGCAAACGATAGGGACCAATAGTGTAATTTACTTAAATTTATAGAACCAAAAAGAAAACATTTTATTTAAAAGCGTTATAATAAGTTTATTGGACATTGTTGGATAAACCATTTTTTTTATTAACCTGGATATCCAACCCGCTATGCGAGCCGACTAATCCCAAGGCGACCACCTGTTTTGCAGATAGCCCGGAGTCACCGCATTTGAACCTCCGTGGCCACAAGGGGATTTTTATTCCTCCTTGGATTTGAACCTGAGACCTCTAGGTACTTTTGACCTTTGGAGTCAAGCTCAAACCAATCAGTCACCACCCTTGTGATTTAAACCCATCTTTATATAGGTTAGAATTGTTTTTATACGACATCTTTTTCCAAATAGTGTGATACAAAATATCTAATACAACATTTTTTTACAAAAATGTTCTAAGAACTTGTTACGATGTCTAAAAACGTCTTATAAGTTTATTACGACCCTTTAAATATGATACATTATTTTTCAGCTCTTATAAATTAAGTCTTACAAAACGGTCTATTAGTATGCTTAGAAAATTGACGGCTAATAAACCCAATTTTTTTTATTAACCTGGATATCCAACTCGCTATACGAGCCGATTAATCCCAGGACGACCACATGTTTTGCGGGTAGCTCGGAGTCACCACATTTGAATCTTTGTGGTCACAACTAAAGATATATGAATTTGAAGTACAAGCACTTAATCAGAACAGTGGTATTTCTTAAAAGGGAAATGATGGCTTAGAAGTTCAAAAGTTCTATCACCTTTATACCTATGAGAAACGAAATGCACAAGCAAATTACTTTCAAATTCGAAAATAAAGCTAAGTACCAAACTTCTCATTTTCTTTCGACATTGTTTTCTGATTCTTATTTAACCCGCAGAGAGAAGTCATAATTTACGTCATAATTTCGATCATCTTCCCGATGTTGACATACTTCATTTCCATGTTCCTTAACACTACAGAACAAATAGCCTTTATTGACGGAAAAATCCGTCTGTAATCCGCTAGAAAAAGCCATCACTGATTGATCTCATTTCCTGAAAAAATGTTGATGGTGATCATTATTACCAGTGGATTTTCAATCACTGATGAAAAAATCCGTCGATAATGGTCAATCCACCGGTGATCTACCAAATCCGTTGATAAAACCTTTTGTAACGATACCATTTCAATCTCTCAAATTTCATTTTTAGTTGAATATAATTTTTTAATATTTTATTTGTTAATTATTTTATTTAAATACATGAAAAATGTATGGAGATCTGAAAAATCAATCACCACAATAAAGTTGATGTATGGGTTTGAGATTAAAATATTTAATATTTTAAATAATAATCATTTATAAAAATACAAACACAAAAAAAATATAAAAATAGGGTGCCATTTTAGTGGCTTCTAACACGTGGCTTGCCGCGGTCGACTCATGGACGGAGCTGATAACTTCCACGTGAATAACTGATTTTTAATACGTTATATAATATTTGAAATAATTCCGAAATTACCCCTGGAGTTTCTATAAAGGAGACCTCGATGGCGACCCCACTTGCCATAGCACTCGAGATGACGATTTCTTCATCTCCACATTTTGTCATATTTCCCTTCATGTCCCAAGGCCACACCATCCCCCTCCTCTACTTCTCCCGCATCCTCCGCCACCGCGGCGTCTCCGTCACCGTGATCACCACCCCCACCAACAACTCCGCTATTAGAGCCGCCGTAAAGAATGACTCCATCTCCGTTATCGATATCCCGCTCCCGGAGGATGTCGTCGGTGCTCCACCCAGGGTAGAAGTTGGAGACAAAATATGTGCCATGGCGTCGTTCATTAATTTCGTGGAAGCCACACAACAACTCCAGCCTGGGTTTGAAGAAGTCGTTCGCAGTCTACCGCCGGTCAGCTGCATAATCGCCGATGGGTTTTTCAGTTGGACTCAAGAGTCCGCCGATAAGCTCGGGATTCCCCGTTTGGTTTTCTATGGGACCAACATGTTTTGTATAACCATCGGCTACATCATGACCAAGTTCAAGCCACATGCAGCAGTTAGTTCAGACGACGAGCCGTTTCCGGTTCCGGACTTCCCTCGGCTCAAGTTGACGGTGAACGACTTCGAACCTCCGGTTAGCGAGGTCGACCCCAAAGGTCAGGCGCATGATTTTCTCGTGAAGCAGCAAGAGGCTAATGCCAGGAGTCATGGGATGGTGGTAAACAACTTCTACGAACTCGAACAAGAGTTTATCGATTACTGGAACCAAAACTTCGGACCCAAAGCTTGGTGTGTCGGACCTTTCTGTATAGCCAAACCAGCTGCACCAAAACCGACGGTGGAAAAGCCAACATGGCTCCTGTGGCTCGATGAAAAGCTTGTGGAGAACAAGCCGGTCATATATGTATCTTTTGGTACACAGGCGGAGGTGTCACCTGAGCAATTACTTGAGGTGGCCGTTGGTTTGGAGAAGTCGAAGGTAAACTTCATGTGGGTAGTGAAACCGAAGCATTTTGAGTTGATAGGAGGTGAAGGGTTCGAAGAGAGGGTGAAGGAGAGAGGGAAGGTGGTGACTGAATGGGTGGACCAGGTKGAGGTTCTGAATCACGAAAGCGTACAAGGGTTTCTGAGTCACTGCGGGTGGAACTCGATGTTGGAGACGATTTGTGCGGGGGTGGCGGTTCTGGCAATGCCGTTTATGGCGGAGCAACACCTGAATGCAAGGTTGGTGGTGGAGGAGATCGGGATGGGGTTGCGAGTKTGGCCAAAGGARAAGGTGGCGCGTGGGTTWGTKGGGGCGGAGGAGGTGGAGAAGATGGTGGTGGAGTTGATGGAAGGTGAAGGTGGGAGAAGGGTGAGGGAGAGGGTGGCGGAGGTGAAGGAAGGTGCATATGGTGCAATGAAGGAAGGTGGGTCATCATGGCGGACATTGGAGTCACTGATTGATCATGTCTGTGGAACTGTGCAACCGACAGCTTAATCATTATCCTTCTCTCTACTTCTCTTAAGAAATAAAAGGGTCATGTTGAATTGATCCCAAGTTGAAAGAAAGGTTTTGTATTCTTCAATCATTCCATCACATTCACTAGCTTTTTATCCATTCACACATGAATGATGGTATAGATTCATTTTGTAAGCTTTCTCGATTCATCCTTTCATGATATGAAGCGTACTTGTAGTTTCTTTTGGGCCACACATTCCCATACTAAATCATACTCTATCTCCATATGGAAGATTATAGGGTCTTTTACCAAACGATTATTCAATAAATACTTATTACAATATAATTTTTACATACGATATCGTTTTAATAGATAAAAATCTTATATAATAAATAAATGATAGTGTTAAATTTTACGGTAAACAACCGGCACTACGTAGGGCTGGAAAAACAAAGTTTTGTTACGAGTGTGTAGGTGCTAATAAGTGGTATCATGCTTCTAGAAGGCTTGTATTTTATTTTCTTTGGTTGTATGATGGTAAATAATTTGAAAGAAGATGATATGATATGATGTATCTTCTCTTGGAGCAGACAAATTACAAGGAAAACCGATCCGATTAGCATCTAATTTCTATCTGAATCGGGTTGTATTAATTAATTTCAGCCGATGTTAGTCGAGTCTTTATGGCAAATACGGAGTTAATTTTTGGGGGGAAAAATCAATCTTTTTAGAAGGGTATCCTTTGTCATGTCTAGACTAACCGTGATAAGTGTGAGAGCGAGACAAGGACCAAACGCTTACTCGGTTAAGCGCTTATTAAGTCACATTAACTAACTGGATGAATATAGTAAGGACCAATAATCTTATCCGGTAAGAGCGAGACAAGGACCAAGAATCTTACCCGGTAAGTGAGGGCAACGACTCTTACCACGGTAAGCGCTTACCGGGTAAATTGTTACATGCGATGTCGCTTTGGTGGACTAAAATCTTACCAGTTAAGTAAATAGTAGTGTTAAATTTTACCGTGGTAAGCACTTACTGGGTAAGTATTTGGTAAACGACCCCTAAGATGTAAACATTATTACAACAAATTTAAGTAATTTTAAAGCATCTTATTAGACTGTTTTAATTTATATTATGACCAAAAAATAAAAGATCATATTTAAAGGCGTTTTAATAAGTTTATATGACGTTTTTTGGCGTATTAACAAGTTTTATAGGTCACTTTTAATACAAGACGTTCCGGTATTTGAAAAAATTTCTTATAAAAATAAGTGTAGTATAAAAAGATGGGTTTATAGGCACTTTTTCAAAAATATATTATAAAGTAGTTAATGGGACATTTTGTATTAAAATGGTCATGTAAAACTTGTTAAGACGTCCGAAACTGTCTTATAAACTTATTATAGTACTTTTAAATAAGACCCTTAATTTTTTGGTCATATAAACTGAGTTTTGTAAAATGGTCTATTGTAGAACCATATTTGGTTAATGAATTAATCACTGGCAACTGTAAACACAATTATTTTTATATAATAAAATTTGTTTTACAAAAAAGAGTCATTCAAATACAATAAGCTTATGAATCAAGTCTTTTGAGTTGCACAATGAATTTCATTCTTTTTTCCTTATATACATCTTTTTATTTCGAACTTTCATCAAAAGAGATATTTCAAACTCAACCACAATTAACCAATATTTCAATACTTAATTCTTATGATGCACCTAATTATCTCTTGGTTCTTTTTTTAATATATATATATATATATATATATATATATTGATGATTATAAACACAATTCATTTTTTATTTTTATATAATAAGATTTGTTTTGCAAAAATATGGTAATCTAAATAAGATAACCTTATAACTCAAACCTCATAAGCTAACACAATATAAGATTTGTTTTATAAAAATAAGGTCATCCAAATAAGATGACCTTATGACCAGGGACGGATACACATGAGTCTCATAGGGGTCAAAGGCCCCCAATAAAATGGTTCACAATTGATTAAAAAATATTTTTTATTTAATGTTTGTTATTTGGACCCGAACACCAAAATAAAATGCCCCCAACCATGATCAACATCATACTTTTAATTGGTTCAATCTCATATTCTCCGGTACTCAATAAACAACTCAACTTAACACATACATACTTCTCCTTAGAACATAACTCAAACCTAATGTCTTACTACTTAACGAGCAATGTGTTTACTTGTTTTAAGTGTAAATTGTAGAGAATACATACATACACACACACATATGTATGTATATATATATATATATAATGTGTCCGTTTAACTAAAATAGTAAATTTTTTTATTGAAAATCAAACTGAATAAGTTATCTTAATTCTGTTAATAGAACCGTTTAAGCCAAAAATGAAAAGTCGAAACCTTTTTTGGTTTGGATGAATTGTTTGGTTTCGAGATTTTTCGACACTCCTAAGTATGCCCCCAACCATGATAGTTTCTGGATCCGCCACTTCTTATGAATCAAACCTCATGAGTTGATACAATAAATCTCATCCTTCTTTCTTATACGCATCTTCTTATTCCAATATTTCATTCTCTCACCAATGTGTGTTATCTCAAACTCAACCACAATTCACCAACACCTCAATACCTAATTCTCATTATGCCACATTAACACCTATTGGTTCTTCCTTTAATATGTATATAGATTATATTATATATTAAACCAAAAATAAATTACTTTGTTATCAAATCTAAATTAAATCCTAATAAAAAATTGAATTAAAAAGTTACAACAAAAAGATGAGAACTATTAAATAGTTACTTTGATACTAATATCGATTTATTTTTTTAAATTTTTTATGTTATTTAAAATTTAAATTCATTAAAAAATAAAAACACTATCGTTTTCTCAAAACCACATAAAATCATATTATATCGATTGAGACAAATAAAACTAATCATTAAAATCGAGATTTATTTCACTCTATTGTACGAATACCATTATAATATATTTTTAAAACTAAACTTAAAATAGAAATGTGAAACAGTTGGAATGCTCTTTGATATTAAAACACAAATTTACAAGCCTTTCATACAGATTTTAAAGATGCACCCCTTTAGAAAGATTCTTTGATTCAGCCCACCTGATAATATAAAGCTTTCCCGTGAGTATTTTAATTTCCCATATTTAATATATTAATTAATATTCTAATTACCAAATTACCCCTCCACTTTCTATAAAGACGGASTTCCACCGGCGACACCACCTGCCACCGCACTCAAAACATGACGACCATTTCTTCACCTCCACATTTTGTCCTGTTTCCCTTCATGTCTCAAGGCCACACCATCCCCCTCCTCCACCTCTCCGGCATCCTCTTCCACCGCTGCATCTCCGTCACCATCATCACCACCCCTGCCAACTACGCCTCTGTTAGATCCACCGTCTCCAATGACTCCATCTCCGTTATCGATATCCCGTTCCCGGAAGACATCGTCGCTGCCCCTCCCGGTGTACAAGTCAATGGTAAACTACAATCCATGTCGTCGTTCATTAATTTCGTGGAAGCCACAGAAAAACTCCAGCCTCGTTTTGAAGAAGTCGTTCGCAGTCTACCGCCGGTCAGCTGCATAATCTCCGATGGGTTTTTCAGTTGGACTCAAGACTCCGCCGATAAGCTCGGGATTCCCCGTTTGGTTTTCTATGGGACCAACATGTTTTGTATAACCATCGGCTACATCATGACCAAGTTCAAGCCACA